AACGGCAGCAGCAGCAGTGCTTTTATTAGTGGTTGGGAAACGCAGCCCAGAGGGACGGACAAATGGCAAAAGGCCAGAAGAAGCGTGTTTCCTCAGTGGTTCCCTCCGCAGCAGCCCTGGGGTCACACAGAGGTCCCCTCCCCAGGAGGCTTGGAGAGCGGGTCCTTCTTCTTCTCTTCGGGCTTCATGGCTGGAAAGAGCAGCACCTCCTGCAAGAGAAGAGGGCAGTGGGCAAACTACAAGCCCGGGTTCCTCGAGCAACAAGGACAACCATGGATGCTTCCTACTTAAAGCTGTGCCCCCCTCCCCTGTGAACAAGATGGACGCCTAGCAACAAGCCTTGGAGCCTTTGATGGCTTTATGGCCAAACAACCGTTCTTCGGGGTCACTGAAGAGGAGTTACTTTGACACCTCCATGGGCTTGGCAGCTTTAGTCTCATAGCAAGGGAAGGGAGGAAGTCACTGTTTGCTTCTGCAGTCTCTTTTCCTCCCTGGAAGCCCACCATCTGCCAGTTGCACCCCAACACATCTCTCCAGAGACATGACTGCTGTTGGAGGTGCTTGTTTGGGCAGAGTGTACGGAGGGCCCCGAATTCCCCCACTGGATGTCAGGGGAGGCCAGGAAACACTGTCTTTGCCTGGGACTGTCTACTGCATCCCTTACCACCGAGACTTAGAGCAGTAGCACCACAAGAACTCTTTAGGAGACCAGGGAATACCTTCACTTCTAGCCCAGAGGAAGGCATTAACAAGCTCACAGTATGTGTGGCTCCAAATTCTGTGTTTCCCACCAGGGCCTGCTGGAGACAAGTGCTTGACCACTTACTTACCTTGATGTTGTTGGAGTCCGTTAGGAACATCGTGAGGCGGTCGATGCCCATGCCCCAGCCAGCAGTCGGAGGGAGCCCGTATTCCAGAGCCGTACAGAAGTTCTCATCAATAAACATGGCCTCATCATCGCCATCAGCTTTTGCCTGGAGAAACCAACCAACAGGTCACCTGCCAAGCTGGAGCCTGCAGCACTGCTCCTCTGGCCTGACAGTGGTTGCACAACCCTTGCCAGCTGTGAGACCAGAGGCCCCATCACACACACCCCTCTTGGACTCCTTGCCAGGCTCAGTCATCCACCAGGCTTTGTGCTGCGCAATTCAGTTAAGAGAGAAGGCAGCCACTGGAGGCCCAAACAGAGCCACACAGGATCAGGGCAGTTCTGGGACTCCAGTGGCTTCTTCCATGGAAGGGAGGCCACTCATGTTGCTACTAACAGTTTACTAAAGGCTTTTTGCGAAGTGATAGCAAGGATCAGATCCATTTTCTTTCAGCAGTAAAGCAGCTGCTACGACAGTTGGTGTGTTATGTGCTCACTGTATAAACAAAGCACTGAGTTTGTAGATGTTGAGCTTTGCATTTACTTAGATTAGCCTGGCTCTGTTTAGAGCTGCTAGCTTATCTGAGCTGGAAGCAGCAGGTGCTGTGGCGTTTGGAAGCTGGAAACTGAAGCGTAAGTCAGTGCCAAGAAAGACTGCTGATCTAAACTACAAATTAAGGGCATCTTATTTTCAATGAAAACAGAAACCGAACTGTATACTACTTTTGCTTTCTGTTGTCAAAGAAAGAAGACTCACTGAAGAAAGTGTTTGTTATTATACTGTAGTGAGATCAACTATTCTGATTTGCTTTGTATCATTGTTGAACCAAAGTGAATGAACTATTTTCTTTTCTACTTAAAACCACAACTGACTCATGTGTATATCTGAGTTCAGGGTCACACTATGTTAAAAGAATCTGAAATATTTTAACAGGATATGTGCTTGCTTCTGCGATCTGCTATCACCAGCACGACAATGCAAACCCCAGAGCCCTCAGCTCAGCAGCCTCCCAGTAGCTTGGACAATGGGCTTCAGGACATTCCCAACCTGGGAGCCTCATGAAGGGAGGAAGAATGGCTATATCTCTTGTTTCAGAGTCAGGATGAGGAGAATTGAGCAAAATGCAGCCCAAGGGACTCCTCACACAGATCAGTCCAGCCCCAGTCCCCCATGCCCCTATTAATAGTCTTGTTCCACTTTTGCACCTTGGCTTGATCTTCAAAGAGCTGGTGCTGCCGAAAGGGATCGTTCAGTTCCGTGTAGGCATTGCAGATTTCCTTCCTCATGACAAAAAGCTCGAAGCGCTCTGTCAGCCCCTGCCGGGCACGGTGCCTGCACAAAGACAACAGGAATTGGGGCCTTGAGCTTGAACCCAGCCAGACCTTGAGCTGCTGCTGCTGCAAAGTCTGGACAGCTTTACAGGAAATCCAGCCCCATCCTCCCCAATTGATGAAATTCACTCTTCATAAGCAGCACTCAGCTCTCTGCTTCCCCCTTAACACTTTGCGAGAGCTCCCCTCCTGCCCCACTTACCATTTGGCAAGGGGACTCATGATCTGGGGGTGATCACAGATGAAAGTGGGGTTGATGCAGGTGACTTCCAAAAATTCCCCAACCAGCTGGAAAGTCCGGTGAAGGGCGCGCAGGGAAGAGAGGGAGAAAGGAGGCTCTCAGGTTGTGGTTCATCGCAGAAATGAAAGAAACACGACTAACCCTCCCAACGAAGGATTCATCAGGCAGCAATCAGCCAGGCCATGAAGCTGAAAGGCTTTGCAATGCTAATCAAGGAAACTGCAACATTCACACTTGCCTCCAACAGGCAAGAGTTCTTTCTCTCACCTTGGACGTTCCACAGATATATAAACCTCCCTTGTCTAGTTTCCAACAGACCTCACAACCTCTGAGGATGCCTGCCACAGATGTGGGTGAAATGTCAGAAGAGAATGCTTCTGAAACATGGCCAGACAGCCCGGAAAACTCACAGCAACCCACCACTGACCTTTGTTTGAGCTTTTCCCCATTCGAATCAGAATGAAACTCTGGTTTTGGACAGACCATTCAAGCACCCCACTCAGTGCTGGCCACAATGCCACATTTCTCAAGGGCAGCCATGCGGGAGCCACCAAGGCCTCCCTCTTCATAAAGAAGGCAATGCCAGCCCCATGTGTTCTCACCTTGTCAAGAAGCCTGGCTGTAGACCGAGGTGGCGGGCATTCGACTCCCCTTTCTTCACAAAGCACATCGAAAAATTTGCGAGTCTCTGCGTGAGAGACAAGAGGAAAGGGTGAACATTTTCCTTCATGAGAGGGCTGAAGTCGCTCATTCCCCTCCCTTCCTCTAATGCTGAAAATGGAAACCGCCTCCAGGCAAAACCCCTGATGGAGCTTGACAGACTGACAGTAAGGGGCAGAGGAAACTGGGATTCAGGCCCAGGCCACAATTCACATGCAGGAAAGCAAGCCCTCGGCTCAGTTGCTCACTTGGAGGGTGGGGGATAAGCATTTCCAGAATATGAAAAACCAGCAGTTCCCAGTTGCAGGAAGGAAGCTCCTTCCTCTCTCACCTTCTGTCTCAAACTGATCCACAGCAGGAAGAGTCACTCCCAGCACTCTCTGCAACTCATCCACCATTCTGATCTTCCGGAAGGGTGGGGTGAAATCGATTTCATACGCCTGGCCCTCTGGTCCTTCCGGATGGTATGTCACTTTGTAGCCCCCAGTGATGCGCTTCACCATTCCTGCAAGAAGACATCGTTGCTGCCTGAACCACACTGGCCGATGTCCTGCCTGGCCCTTCTCCCCTCCCACCTCCACGGCGCCAGACCCACAGCATTTTGGCAACAAACCTGAAAGCATCTGTTCTGTGATCTCCATCAAGTCGTGGTAGTCTGCATAGGCCATATAGAACTCGCAGGTGGTGAATTCTGGGTTGTGGGTTAAATCGATGCCTTCATTCCGGAACTGGCGCCCGATCTCGTAAACACGGTCCATGCCACCAACCACCAACATCTAAAACACAGAAAGAGATCATTACATTTGTGAAGATAAGGCAAATCTTCGGGGCCCACACCTCTCTTCTATCTGGTTTGAAGCGAGGCCCTGGAAATGGCAGCTTGTGTCAGAAATATTAAAAATTAACTGGGTATTTTTGATTACAAAAGTGTGAGTCAAGCACTGAAAGAGTGAATAGGCCGAACCCTGTTAGAATCAGTGGTCCAAAGCTAGTGTCGTCCTGAGGATAGTGAGTAGGCCAAAGCCTGTTAAAGTTAATGGGCCAAAGCTAGTGTCATCCTGAGGAGAGTGAGTAGGCCGATGCCTGTCGGAGTTAAAGGGCCAAAAGTAGTGTCATCCTGAGGATAGTGAGTAGGCCGAAGCCTGTCAGAGTTAAAAGAGCCAAAGCTAGTGTCGTCCTGAGGAGAGTGAGTAGGCCGAAGCCTGTTAAGAATGAGTGGGCCAAAGCTAGTGTTGTCTGGAGAAGAGTGAGAAGGCCAAAGCCTGCCAGAGTTAATGAGCCAAAGCTAGTGTTGTCCTGAAGAGAGTGAGTAGGCCAAAGCCTGTCAGAGTTAATGGGCCAAAGCCAGTGTAGTCTTAAGGAGAGTGAGTAGGCCGAAGCCTGTCAAAGTTAATGGGCCAAAACCAGTGTATTATTATAACTGTGTAGTCTTGAGGAGAGTGAGTAGGCCGAAGCCTGTCAAAGTTAATGGGCCAAAGCCAGTGTAGTCTTGAGGAGAGTGAGTAGGCCAAAGCCTGCCAGAGTTAATGGGCCAAAGCCAGTGTAGTCTTGAGGAGAGTGAGTAGGCCAAAGCCTGTCAGAGTTAATGGGCCAAAGCCAGTGTAGTCTTGAGGAGAGTGAGTAGGCCAAAGCCTGTCAGAGTTAATGGGCCAAAGCCAGTGTAGTCTTGAGGAGAGTGAGTAGGCCAAAGCCTGTCAGAGTTAATGGGCCAAAGCCAGTGTAGTCTTGAGGAGAGTGAGTAGGCCAAAGCCTGTCAGAGTTAATGGGCCAAACCCTATTAGAGTTAATGGGCCAAGGCCAGCATTGTTGTGAGGAGAGTGAGTAGGCCAAAGCCTGTCAGAGTTAATGGGCCCAGGCTAGCGTTGTCATGAGAAGAGTGAGTAGGCCAAAGCCTGTCACGAATTAATGGGCCAAAGCTAGTGTTGTCCTGAGGAGAGTGAGTAGGCCAAAGCCTGTCAGAGTTAATGGGTCAAAGCTAGTTTCGTCCTGAGGAGAATGAGTAGGCCGAAGCCTGTTAAGACTCAGTGGGCCAAAGCTAATATCATCCTGAGAAGTGTGAGATAAACCCCGGCATAAAAAGGCCTTGTGTGTGAAGCTCCAATGTGAAGGCTGAACTTTATTTGTATTACAGAAAGCTAGTTCTTGTAAACAGTGCAACCATATTATTTTGCTATAAAGAAAATCCTCCTACACACATTGGTCTGTGTGTTTTTGTTCTTGTTATCACTTTGGCCTACTGGTGTGGAGTCACACAGCTGCTGATAAGTTATTCTGCTGTGCATTTATGGGGAGGGTCTTTTGTTTATAAGTCCTTTCGCCCAACTGGGATGTGGCCTCTGAGCAGACGCGCCTCAGTTCAGGTCCCCTTTGTCCTTCTTCTCCCTTGGCCCAAGGGCTCACCTTGTGATACAGCTCTGGAGCAACACGCATGTATAGGTTCATGTCCAGCTCATTGTGGTGTGTGATGAAGGGCTTTGCTACAGCTCCACCAGGGATGACGTTCATCATGGGAGTCTCCACCTGGATGCGGGGTGGACACACGTACTGAGCCATGACCCACCAACTCTCCAGAAGCAAAAGGTCAACGTCCCCAAGGGTCCCCCGCCCCTTGCCCCCAAAGTTCCTCTCTTCTGTGGAATTTAACCCATGTCTGTATCTGGGTTGCTGTGACTTTTCTAGATTGTATGGCCATGTTCCGTAAGCATTCTCTCCTGACTTTTTACCCACATCTATGGCAAGCATCCTCAGAGATTGTGAGATCTGTTGAAAACTAGCCAAGTGGGGGTTATATATCTGTGTAATGTCCAGGGTGGGAGAAAGAACTCTTGTCTGCTTGAGGCAGGTGTGAATGTTGCAATTGGCCACTTTGATTAGCATTTAATAACCTTGCAGCTTCGAAGCCTGGCTGGTTGCTGCCAGGGTAAATCCTTTGGTGGGAAGTGTTAGCTGGCCCTGATTGTTTCCTGTCTGGAATTCCAGACTAACCTGATTTTAAGAATTTTTTTTTAATACTGATAGCAGATTTTGTTAATTTTCATGGTTTCCTCCTTTCTGTCAAAATTGTCCACATGCTTGTGGATTTCAATGGCTTCTCTGTGTATTCTGATATGGTAGTTATATTGTTTTGTTAATTCTATGTTCATGTTGCTTACTCTGTATGTATTGATGGTGTTACTTGAGTCCCCTCAAGTAGATAGAGTGGTATATAAATAAAGTTTTATTGTTGTTGTTTCAGCGGTCCAGCATTTCTGTGTTCTGTGCACCTGATGAACCAATCTGGACACATCATACTATTTGAGAACAAAGAAATGCTGGACCACTTTAACAACCACCATATCAGACTACACTGAGAAGCCACTGAAAGAGTTCTTTCTCCTGACCTGGACCTGGGAGAAAGGTCAGGAGAAAATGCTTCTGGAACATGACCAGACAGCCTGGAAAACTCAAAGCAACCCAGTGATTCCAGCCATGAAAGCCTTCAATAACACATATCTGTATCCTCTATTAGCCTTTTTGAATATAGTATATCTGTCAGGTAAATAAAAAAAAAAATTTAAAAAAGGGGGGGGGGAGCACTGACCTCCAGAAAGCCCAACTCATCCAGGAAGGTGCGGACATATGTTATTATCTTTGCACGGACGATAAATTTTTGTCTCACAAAATCGTTAAGAATTAAGTCCAGGTATCTCTGCCGAAATCTTGTTTCCTAAAAGATGTAGTTAGAAACAATCAAAGAGATAAGGATATCCTCAGAGACCCTGAATCAAAGCAGCTGGAGAGCCCTTCAGGGTTGATACCTTGTCCTTGAGTCCAAAATGAAGGTGAGGCAGCATGTGAAGGCACGGCGAGAGCAGGGTCATTTCGTAAGGGATTATGCTCAACTCCCCCTTCTTGGTTTTGCCAGGATTCCCCTGGATCCCAACTATGTCTCCACGCCGAAGCTTGTTGTTAATGTGCACAAATTCTTCTTCAGACTTGTAGTTCCTGGGAAGAGGTTTTCAAAAAATGTTTCTGAACAAAAAGAAGCCTTCCCAACTGGAATTTTCTCCAACTTCATGTGTGCAAAATAGAGGTGTAACACACTCTTTGTTCTCAGGAGAACTTTTGTATGAGAAAGCATTCAAAAATTAAAGGTAATTAATGATAAACAAAGATTCTGATCTACCTTAACTAAAAAATTAAAGGTAATTAATGATAAGCAAAGACTGAGAGAGAAGAGGCTCCCTGAGGTCCAGCAAAAGGCAAGGGCACAATTGTGCGCCTGCAATGAAGTGACTCTTTAATTCCACTGAGGTTCACAAATGCACCAAAACAGGGAAAGACTTTTGAGCTGTTTACCTGGAATTTGCCATGACTTGCAATTTAACTCCCTCCCCACGAAGATCGTAGAAGATCAGCTTCCCTCCAGAAGCACGTTTCGCGTGGATGCGACCTAAAGTCAGAGTGACAGAGTTGGAAAGGAGTTCCACGGGCCATCCGTGTAACCCTCTTCTGACAGGAGGAAAGAGGCAAAGGAATGCAGCTCAACACTGCCCCTGCCCTAAAAGGCCCTCCTGCGCTTTGCCCTAAGGCCCGCCTTCAGGGAGAGGAAAAGTGGGGAGAAGGAGGGTGGGAGGAAGACCCTGGACCTCCTCCCCCACTCCTGATGACCTCACCTGCGACCTTGACGGTGACCCCATCCAGGTGATCCCCAGGTTGCAGGTGCCCAAAGCGCTCAAGGAAGTCGGTGAGGGAGATGTCCACATGGAACTTGTGTGGGTAGGGATGCTCCCCGGGGATTGCCTTCAGCTGTTCCACAGCCTGACTGCGGATCTTATAGTATTGCTGCAGAGGAGAGAAAGCAGAGGAGGAACCATGAGAGAGGAAGAGGAGTGTGGGTCGTACTCTGTTCAAAGGACTGCCTTTGACAGGTAAGGCTTTACATCACTAAGGTCCAGGTTGTTTGAAGAACCACTTGCAAGCAAGCCTTTGGGGGAGAAGGAGGGACTTTGAAGGTGGTTTTAATTGCATTGATTGTATTTTAACATTATATCCTCACACTACTTATTGTTTCGTTTTTTAATTTTCACGTCTGTTTTGTTTTAGATGGCGACACAATGCCAGTCATACGGTCACAAATAAATGCAGCCTGGTTGAAATGGCAGCAAACTACTGGCATTCTGTGCGACTCAAAAACACCTGCACAACTCAAGACAAAAATCTACACTACAGTTGTCCTCCCAGTAGCCCTCCCTCTACAGGGCAGAGTGTTGGCCAGCAACAAAGAAACATGAACAAGCCCGTAACACAATGGAAATGGAAATGCTGAGGTGGACACTTGGTTTGACACTTCTTGACCATGTGCCAAATGAGGACATCCATCAAAGATGAGAATCAAAGTGATCAGCAAGAAAATGCAAGAAGCAAGGCTATGGTGGTCCGGTCGTGTCATGAGAAGAGAACCAACATCAGTAGCACAGACAACACTACATTTGGAGATTGCAGGATGGCGACCATGAAGAAAGGCCAAAGAAAAGATGGATGGACACCATCAATGAAGACATGTGTGCTGCCAGCCTGAGACCTGAGGATGCCCAAAAAACAAAGCCCTGTGGAAACGACAGTCACAAAATTAACCCATCAATCGGGAAAATAGCTTAGAAAGGAGAAGATAATAATAATAATCATCATCATCATCATCATCATCATCATCTTTATTTATACTCTGCCACCATCTCCCCGAAGGAACTCTGGACAGCTCTCAGAAGCACTCCAAGTGCCAGACATAAAATAAGCAATACATAAGCATGTAAACGATGATAACATAAATTTACAACAGTAAACATACATAAAACATCACATAATAACATTTTGTGAAGTGTTGGTGTGATAGATTAGCAATCAAAACAGTTTCAGGTATTTTAGACCTGCCAGGTGTTCAGAATGTATAGGTATCTGATTATCTTTGGAGAAAATTACTTAGAATCAGATCTGAAGCACTCATGGAGGTTGTTAGTCAATGGAACTGAGTTCCAGGACTACTGAATTACACAGAGGACCTACAGGTGGGACTCAACCTCATGGCTACAGAGGATCTATAGTGCAATGAGAACAAAGTGAATATTTTGAGGAAACTATTCAGAATACAGGAAGAGCCATCTTTTTTTCTCGTGCTCAGAAAATTTACCTGTTGAATGAAGAGACACTGAAGTAATTTATTTTTATTTTTTTGCACAGGAGGTTGCTGCCCCTTCCAGTCCAGATCAGGAGGCACAACACCATCAGGGCCAAAGACATTTAGCTCCTTGAAATGTTCTGTTTCTATCATCTCATTCTGCCAAGGAATAGGATGGATTGGTAGATGGACAGATGAAAGGACAGATAGATAAATGGATGGATGGTTGGATCGATGGATTAATGGATGGATGGGTAGATAGATGGGTTGATGAACGAATGGACATATAGCTGGATGAATGGACAGATAAATATATAGATGGATGGATAGATTCTACAGTACTACATTTGGAGACTGCAGGACAGTGACCATGTGAGCAAAGGCCAAAGAAAAGATGGATGAACATCATCAAGACATGAATGCTGCCCACCTGAGACCTGAGGAGGCCTAAAGCAAACCCCTGTGGAAATGACAGTCACAATGCTCACCCCTCAGTTGGGAAAATAGCTTAGAAAAAAGAAGTTTTGTTTTAAATGTTGATTAGGTTATAAGGTAGTCAAGGGGAAAATGTGGGAAATACATAAATGAAATTAATAATAATAATAATAATAATAATAATAATAATAATAATACAGTGTTTCCCTGAAAATAAGAAACTGTCTTATATTTATTTTTCCTCAAGAAGACACACTATGGCTTATTTTCATGGGATGTTTTTTTATTAACTATGTACAACAATCTGCATTTATGGGATGATCTCTCTGGGCTCAGTAGCAGACTGCTTGCTGAAGCTTTTCCTCATTCTCTGGTGTTTGTGTGGAGTGAGAGAGACACACTGACTGTTGCTGGTTGGTGTTGAGGGAGAGAGACCCACAGTGCTGAGTAAAATGGCAGCCACAGCTTTACTTCTTCCCCCGAAGACACACAATAGCTAAAGCAGAGCGTCCTGCTCCTCACTTCACTGAGACTCTTACTTTCACTTTCTATGTCTCCCTCTATGCCTCAGCTTGCAGCTCGCCCAGCATGACCAGGATCTGACGGGGGAGCAAACCTTGTAAGCTGCATATCCACACCTATCACTATGTCTTATTTTCAGGGTATGGGTTATACTGCACAAATGCTTAAAAACCCTGCTGTGGAATATTGTATGAGTATGTCTCATTTTTGGGGAAACACGGTAAATGGATAGATAAATAGATTGATGGATTGATGAACAAATGGATATATGAACACCATCAAGACATGATGTCCAACTCTGTCACTCCTTTCCACCTGCTACTAAGGAGGCTGTCCAGGTCCTGAACTGGTGCTTGGCCGCTGTGACAGCCTGGATGAGGGCGAACAAATTGAAATTGAATCCAGACAAGACAGAGGTACTCCTGGTCAGCCGCAAGGCCGAACAGGGCATAGGGTTACAGCCTGTGTTAGACGGGGTTCCACTCCCCCTGAAGACGCAGGTTCGCAGCTTGGGTGTGACCCTGGACTCATCGCTGAGCCTGGAACCCCAGGTTTCGGCGGTGACTAGGGGAGCATTTGCACAGCTAAAGCTTGTGCGCCAGCTGCGCCCGTACCTTGGGAAGTCTGACTTGGCCACGGTAGTCCACGCTCTGGTTACATCCCGTTTAGACTACTGCAACGCTCTCTACGTGCGGTTGCCTTTGAAGACAGCTCGGAAGCTCCAACTAGTCCAACGCTCGGCAGCCATGATTTTAACAGGAGCGGAGTGCAGGGAGCATACAACCCCCCTGTTGCGCCAACTCCACTGGCTACCGATCTGCTACCGGGCTGAATTCAAAGTGCTGGCGTTGGCCTTTAAAGCCCTAAACGGTTCCGGCCCAAGCTACCTATCTGACCGCATCTCTGCCTATGAACCCACCAGGACTTTGAGATCTTCCGGGGAGGCCCTGCTCTCGATCCCGCCTGCTTCTCAAGCTCGGCTGGCGGGGACGAGAGATAGGGCCTTCTCGGTGGTGGCTCCTCGGCTGTGGAACGCCCTTCCTACGGACATTAGACTAGCACCATCTCTAATGGTATTCCGCAAAAAAGTGAAGACCTGGCTGTTTGAGCAGGCGTTCCAATAATTAGTGCAATGATTGGTTAATGAACACTGGAATGGAACAATGGATGACGAATCTGGAACATGTTTTTGATGACGAGATGACAGTGAATGGGTCGTGTAATGTGTAATGTGTTAGGTTGTTAACTGTTTCTATACTGTAGCACTGAATTTTTGCTGTTCGTATTTGTTGTGAACCGCTGTGAGTCGCCTTCGGGCTGAGAACAGCGGTATATAAGCAAGGTAAATAAATAAATATATAAATATATACAGGGTGAAGCAGTATAACTTCCTTTTTTCAAAACTTAATAAAACCCATTGTATGAATCAAAACAATTTTATAATGTAGGGCTCCTCACGTTGGGGTCGAGGCCTTCTTCGTCGGGGTCTCGCTCCGAGGTCGAGGCGGCGGAGGCCGGAAGGGCTTCCCTTTGGTGCTGCTGCTGCTCCTTCTGCCGCGCCTCCTTCTCGGCTGCCTTCTTCTCGGCCTTCAGGCGCCGCTTGAGTTCACTACAGAGGGAGGGAGCGAGTCATTCGGGCCTGCCTCCCTTCCTTCCTTTCCCGTCCCTCCTTCCTTCCTTCCCTCGGGTCCCGCCACCCACCTGGGCCTGGGCCTGCCCGCTCCGGCGCCGCGGAGGAGGAAGAAAGCCGCCGGCGGGCGCGAGAGGAGGCGCCGGGACAAGGCCAAGGCCATGCTGGCGGGACTCACTTCTTGCTCGGCCGGGAAGCCTCATTCTCCGCGGAAGGAGGAAGGAGAGAAGGGGCCGAAACGGGCGCCGCCATGACTGCGCTGCCACGCAGGAAGGACTTCCCCGGATGTAGCGGCGGAGGGGCGGGACTTCCGGTCAGGGCTTGGGCGCATGCGCAGACACAGGGAGGCGGGGCCAGAAGGCCAAGGAGGGTCACTCAAGATATTGTCGAA